ACAACTACAAATAAATAATACAAACAGTAGCAATCCGGTGAGAACGACAGTTAAATTGTTATTCTCGATATTTTAACTGTTGGTCTTCACAATCTAGTTCTACAGTTAAACTGACAGCATTTACCATTCGCAACTAACGGGAATCATTTAATGGGTGTGATTGGAATAAATTCTTCATAACATTAAATGTGTTCATCAATGCTCAACTACCAAGTGATAAAATCTTCACAAAGAATTTACACAATACTTCACTAAATAGGGAATCACCAAAAAGATTTTAAGGAGGAGGATGTCATTCAAAGAAATTGGCGAAATCAATCCAAATGAATGAATAATAATTTGTAAATAAATATAAACATGTTGTATTTAACAATTCCATTCTAATAAATCATAAGATTAAAAATATTAAATAATTTATAAATGCCAACCCTCAGACCAGAAGATGAATTCAAAATTACTTTTTTCTACGTTTTTTTAAATAATAATAATAATAATAATAATAATAATAATAAGAATAATAAGACTTCTATTTTTTTAGGGAATTATCATTCATTTACATAGCAAAAGGTTATGAACTAATTTTAATTATTTATTTTTTGGTTAACAACTTTATTACATATTAGATAGATTCATAGGATTTTCTTATACATGTCAACTACCAAATCGTGACATTAATTAGCATCAAATTTATGTATTAACAAGCAATAAATGCACTCAGAAAGATATTTACAAGGGTATTTTGAACGTTTTGCACCCAAAAATGACATTTTTGAGCACCTTTTGAAAAAGTGACAAATATGCAAAATCCCCACCTCGATTGTTTTGACACAATGTGTTCTAATATGTACCATATTGTGATTTTCTTCTGTCAAAGAAAGTCTAATTTTTGCATTTCAATGAAATATCAAACTAAATGGGCATTTCATTTGGATTTCTACCTTTTCTTCGATCTCTACTAATTGCATTCTTGTGGCGTTGTTGTTGAGGAGTACTCTTCAATATATAGCTTTGATTCTATTGTATTAGTCAGTTACTTAATTGACGTGGCAGGCAGTTAATTTTCTGTTGTTAGTTAGAGTAGTACAGTTTCCATTTTAGTTAGTTTCTGTTAGTTCTGTTGCTCGTGAGCTGAGATCTATATATATGATTGTAAAGGCAGATCAAAATAATGAAGAAGTTCATTTTACAACTTCTCTCAAATTCATTGTTCCAGAATTTGTTATGGTATCAGAGCTTTTTGTTTAGCTTCCGCTTCCAGTCATGGCAGACGGTCATCAGGTTACTTCTGAATTTCACGTAGACATTGCAATTCCTGGAGTCACTCCAATCTCCAACTCGCGATCTGCAATTCCGCCGGAGAATCCTACTGGTTCCTCTACAATTCCTACACAGATCAGCTCTCGAGTCATGGACGATCCTAATAGTCCATACTACCTTCACTATGGCGAGAATACTGGTACATAGCTCATCTCTATCGTTCTTTCCGACGAAAACTACTCCACTTGGAGTTGAGCAATAACCATGGCCTTGAGTGTCAAGAATAAAGAAGGCTTCATTGACGGCTCGATCTCCAAGCCAGATCTTAATGATCCACTTTACGTTCCATGGAGAAGATGTAATCATGTGGTATCTTCATGGATAATTAATTCAATCCCCAAAGAACTATATCCTAGTGTCGTGCATAAAGACTCGGCTAGGGAAATTTGGCTTGAGCTTCATGACAGATACAATCAGAGTAATGGCCCTCGCATTTATCAATTGCAGAAATCGATTTCTTCTATTTCACAGAACAATGGATCTCTCAGTTCTTAGTTCAACAGATTGAAAGGGCTTTGGGAAGAATTAGCAATATTACTATATCCCCTAACCAATGTCAACAGATCATCTCTATGCTGAGGCCCCAACTTGAAGTTTGACCCCAAGGCTAATGCCTGCATCTTCCTTGGTTATCATAATGGAATGAAAGCATATAAACTTTTCAACTTGACCACTCAAACCTGTATCATTTCAAGGAATGTGGTCTTTCATGAATCCATTTTTCCATTCCATAGTATACCATTGCAAATTCCTACTACTCCTGAACATTCACCCCTTTTCCTGAACAACAGCATTCCAATTCAACATTCCTCAACACCTACCACAACAGACTTTCCTTATTCTCCTAATTCCACTACAACTCATTCTCCTGTTTTATCACCTGCAATACAACCTTCACCTGCAGAACTTCCTCAAGCAGATTCTGCAGTGCAATCTCCACATGCAAAACTTTCTCACACCATCACCTATCTCATATCTCCACCTCGAAGATCTACAAGAACCCATAGACTATCCTCATATCTTGATCAATATCATTGCAACTTGATAGAGACCAATCATCTCCAGCTCCAATCTGATTCCAAGAAAAGTGTCCCACATGAAAGTGGTAAACAATATGATATTTCAAAATATTTTGGATATGATCATTTATCCTCTGCTCATAAGGCTTATGTGATGTCCATCTCTTTCTCTTCTGAGCCAAAAATTTTGACCAAGCCTCCAAGAGTCCAAATTGGTGTGCAGCAATGGATGCTAAGTTCCAAGCCTTGGTTGCTAATAATACTTGGACATTGACAACTATGCCCCCACATAAGACCCCTATTGATTGCAAATGGGTCTATAAAATTAAATACAGGGCAGATGGTAGTGAAGAGAGAAAGAAAGCACGCTTAGTTGCAAAAGGATTCACGCAACAAGTTGGATTGGATTACCAAGAAACGTTCTCCCCAGTGGCAAAATTGGTCACAGTTAAAGCTCTCTTAGTAATGGTTGCAATTCAGCAATGGCATTTGTTTCAACTTGATGTGAACAATGCTTTTCTACATGGAGATTTGGAAGAAGAGGTGTACATGCGCATGCCTCCAGGGTATGAGCAACAGGGGGCCAATGGTGAGAAACTTGTATGCAAGCTCAACAAGTCCATTTATGGCCTTAAACAAGCCTCAAGGCAATAGTTTAACAAGTTGTCCAATTTCATTATTTCTCAAGGATTCACTCAATCACAGTCAGACCCCTCATTGTTTGTTAAGATTAATGGTTGCCCACCTACCATTTTATTGGTCTACGTTGATGATATCATCATTGCTGGAAATGACATTACTTATATTGATCGGTTTAAGAAAGTCTTGGACCAACAATTCAAGCCAAAGGACCTAGGAATCTAAAGGTTTTCTTGGGTTTGGAAGTGGCTAGAAACAACGTTGGGATTTCCATTTGCCAGAGGAAATATGCACTAGAGATCTTGGAGGATACAGGCTACTTAGGTGCTAAACCTGCCAAGACACCTATGCAACAGAATTTGAAACTTGCCAAATCTGATGGTGAGTCGATCACTGATGCTAGCACATACAGAAGACTAGTAGGCAGGCTTCTCTACCTGAACATTACTAGACCAGATCTTGCTTACCCAGTACAGATTCTTAGCCAGTTTGTTGATGCACCTAGACAACCACACCTTGATGCTGCTTTGCATGTCTCGAGGTATCTCATGGGAACTGTAGGACGGGGATTATTCTTTGAGAAGGATTCAGAGATTCAGCTTAAGGGCTTTTGTGATGCAGACTGGGCTGCATGTTTAGACACTTGGAGATCAATCTCAGGGTATTGTGTGTTTTTAGGCAATTCCTTAATTTCATGGCGTTCAAAGAAGCAAAGCACCGTGTCTAGGTCATCAGCGGAAGCTGAATACAGGGCTATGGTAGCTGCAGTATATGAACTAACTTGGCTTCAATACATACTGATTTGGGAATTGAGCATAAGAAACCACCGTTGTTGTTCTGTGACAATCAAGCGGCCATGCACATTGTCGAAAATCAGGTTTATCATGAGAGAACAAAACACATTGAGCTGGATTGTCATGTGGTCAGAGAAAAGATACAAGAGGGAAAAATCAGGATTATGCACCCGTGTACTAAAGATCCTATTGCAGACATGTTAACCAAGGCAATTGGAGGAATAAGGTTTAAAACACTGTTAAGCAAGATGAATGTTCTTAATATCCACCTTCCACCTTGAGGAGGTGTCTTGAATATATAGATAGCTTTGATTCTATTGTATTAGTCGGTTACTTAATTGACGTGGCAGACAGTTAATCTTCTGTTGTTAGTTAGAGTAGTTCAATTTCCATTTTAGTTAGTTTCTGTTAGTTCTGTTGCTCGTGAGCTGAGGTCTATATATATGATTGTAAAGGCAGATCAAAATAATGAAGAAGTTCATTTTACAACTTCTCTCAAATTCATTTCATTTTACAACTTCTCTCAAATTCATTGTTCCAGAATTTGTTAAGTACTGAATAGAAGGAGTCGGTGTGGTGTATTCAAGTTTTATGGAGATAAATGGGACGATCACAGAGAAATTATGTTGGTTTCTCGATTATTGGACTGATAGTCCCAACAAACTGCACTTACAATATGCTCGTAAACATTAACTATTTTTGTAGTCATTGACGTTTGCTACTTCCCTCATCCTTTCATTTTTAATTTATTATTTTAGAGGTAATTAATTATTTTTTATCTTATTTTAATTAATAAAAAATTAAAAAGTTCAAATATTTCAATTAAAAATATTACATTATTATCTATTTTTGTTTATTGTTTTAGCTATTTGGTTCAACCCTGGTTCAAACCCGATTTGACCCTTTTGTGAAATGGTATTTTTCAGGTAAAGTAGTTTTATATTTTTCCCTCAACCTTTTAAATTTTCGGATCAATGTCCGATCCGAGTTTTACATTGCTCAAGAGGACAAGCAAACCAGCAATTACAAAGATTTTATAACGGTACCAAGAGTGCCCAAAATTGTTTTTCAAGAACCACCAAAACTAGTTGAAGTTTAGAAGTAATCCACCAAAAACCCGAACCAAACTTGTTTAGTAAAGATTATTCCCTAAAGATATAGCCATCCATGGTGCCTAACATTTTCAAATCCAAAAAATGGATCACAGTTGCAATCAAAGGCTCAAAATAAATGCACGAAACCCATATATGTATTCAACTTCTTGCTTAAATTAATGCTGGAGATATCAGAGAAGTTCGGGTACAAAAGGTCGAACAAGGTGGATGCATGTTCATTGCTCATACGTATATTATGCACAAAATACCAGGCACCTCATGTTGGCCCTGGGAAAAATATAACAAAATTGCAAAATCAAGAAGTTCAACCTTCCAGAGTTTAATGGAACTTCATATTCATGTACCCAAAATTCATCTGCTAGATGGACAACATACCTGTAAGATTGAAGAACCAAAATTAGCAGCCATGGAGTTAATCTTTTCAAATAATATATTCAATTTCAAGAATTCAGTATATAGTTGAAAATAGGCACCCCCAAAAGATGAAGCAAAAAAGGCAGTGGCAGCAAAGAAAAATGACTTTACATAAACGAGGATTGTTAGTAATTCTCTGGGCTTGAGCCTTGAGCAACTTGCAAATTCTTCGTTTCTTTAGCATCCAAGCCTCCTGCAACTGATGAAATTTCCTCTCGTGAATTTATGGTGCCCCAGTTCATCCGTTGGACCTCATCTTTCGTACAGATTAGGATCTTATGAACCATGCTACAGAATTCTCTGTTAAAAAGGAACAGGAACTAGTTAATAACACAACATAAAGAAGCACTATAAATAGAATTAAGGCAATCGAGACAAGTGAAAGTATTTCTTACTCCCACGGGTCATCTCCAACAAGCATCATATCATCTTCGTCATCAGTATAAACTACAAGCCAATTCTTATTTGGAGCCTTGAGTTCACCATTAAATTCAAAGATATTATCCAAATCAGCAGTCAGTTCATCATAGTTGTTGAACTTGGCAAGATCAACTGACCTACCAAGGGCAGCCCCCTGCTTATGAACCTGAAATGACAACGATTTGGACTATTAGAGTCAATTGTATTGAGAACAAACAAATAATAAGTGTCAATGAAAAGAAAAATATAGCAAAGTCCCAGATGAAAACCTTGGTGCAACTCCTTGTTGAACCAGAAACACCTTTGCCTTCCCTCTCTCTAGCAAGCGGATGGCAAGTTTGAAAATGTTTATCCTGCTCACTTGCAACTGGATTATCTGCCATCTTTAAGCCCTTTGATTGATCAGACCTCTGATCAGATGCTAACGCTGGGGACTGATGAGAATGCATCACACCATGTACACGACTTGTTTCAATCATTGCATTCGTGTGCAACAGTTCTTGCTCTGTTGGAACAGAGCCACTTATAAGGGGAACACCAAAGAGCTTGCAGTTACCTTCCTTGGGTTTTGTGGTGTCACGTTGTGCAAATACAGAATTTGGCTGCAGTTCTCTAGATTGACCAGGAGTTATTTGAAGATACGGTGAATTTGGTGGAGGCATCAACCAATTTACATGCTTATTGCCATCTCTGTGATCAGGAAGCATAGAATATTCTCTCAATCCACCACTGCATCTAATATCCCCTTGTGTGTGATACGAAGCATCAGGACCTTGTCCATGAGTTTTCATACCAGTATCCATCAAATTAAGCGAGAGACAAGAAGGTATCATAGACCATGCATTTCCAATTAAGCAGAACTTCTCTTCACGCTCTTCTACTTGTTGCTTGGAAACTGCAGTATTACCTGAAGGCAAAGAGAACTCACGGGACAAATTATATTGTGATCCAAAACCTGATAAAAGATCTGTGAATGACGACTCTGGCCTTCCTAAAGGCAACCACTTATCCGACCCATATCTTCTTGAAGAGGAAACATGCTCAATCTTTTCTTCATCTGATGAAGGTGGCCACAACATTGGCTTTTCGGAAGAATCTGATTCATTGCTCTCTGAAAAAGTGCCTTTCAAGATTGACAATTCTTGACCTTGGAAGACCATTGGAAACCCACTGGCTGGTGAAGGGTCTACAGTCATCTTAGCTGAACCTACATCATATTACATTTCAAACAGACATGAGTAAGTCGGAAGTAAAATACTAAAACTACTAACAAAACCTTAGGCAGACAGAAAGAACAAACGTACTTTCCCTGGTAAGGACAGAAGAGTCCGAGGAAACGGGCAAGACATTTGATCGAGGTCGTTTTGGTCTGGGCACAGGAAGTGGATTAAGGGCAGGAGGAGAAAGAGAAGGTTCTATTTCCCAAGGAGAAACCCTCTCTGGTCGAGATATTGTGGACATTTCATCCCAACGCACCTTAAAGTAACATTAAGAAAAATTTTCATCATGAGGAAAAATAAATAAATAATTGAAAGCATAAAGTGTGAGTAGTCAAATATAAGATGTAGTACCTTTAGACATCTCCATTTCGATTGTGGCCACCTTCTTGAATCAGATGCTTCAATACCAACTATTGTTCCAGTAAACCTACAAAGTTTTATGGATTCTTGAAAATCAAAATATAAAAACTATTCTCATGATTCACTCCGAAAGTTACAAAATGTGCTTCAGAAGATTAAAGGCGTCATACCTCTGCTCTGGAGCTTCTTCACCTTCAAATCTCATTTTAAACTTCATTCCTATTAAATAATTGTTTTTCACAGACTCCATGTACTGATCAAACGGCACAATGAACTCGGATGGGCTCGTCCTGTGAAACAGAGGTAGGACGTTAGGGAGGATATAACACAGGCAAAAACACGTGCAATCTGTCCATCGTTTATTAGCGTTCACTTGGCTTGATACATTTATATGTTAGTAAAGGTGCAGAGTTTTAGTCAGACAATTTCAATACAGAAATGTATATCACATGCTTCTTTGACAGCAGCAGATTCATGTTTACATTATGCAGAAATGCAAGTGTAAAAAATCACGTATTCCCAAGGAATGTGGAAGTAACAAGAAAGTTAGTAAATAATAGCTCTCTTCTTTCATTCCTTTTTTCATTCTTCAACAATAGTGTTAATGATTACAGAGTAAATTGGAAAAATTGAAAGGATTGATTTCAAACATTAATAAGAAACGTGGACAAAGGAATAGAAGTTCCATAAAAAAATGTAGTCAAACCGCCAAAAAATAACAGCCACCACCCCGTGATTCAATGTATACATAAGACAATCAATATTTTTGCAGTGTAACAAATGACATACCTAGGCTTGTAATATACTGTGAATATTGTTTTTGTCTGAATGGCATGCATAGCTGTTGCCAGCACACCAAGATGCATGCTATGACATGATATGACGGACGACGGAGCATTTCCTTCTTGTCTCATCGCACGCCTAACTCCAACACGAAGCTCCCCATTCTCACCTCTGTAAGTTCCATGTATACTTGTTTAATAATAGAAACTATTTGCATAAAACAAAAGATGTGAATATATAATATAGCACCACCTTAGAAATATGAAGGCGTCGCCAGCAACAAGCCTCTTAGAACTAACAAAAACACTCCAACCACTCTGAAGGAGGTGCCTCCGTGGTTGACCTGGAATTCAAAAGATTAATCAAATATTACAAGTCAAAACTCATGTCAGAATCTGTGGACAAATCGCCATTAAATGTCCTAAGAAGAGAAGTGCATTGAATAACAACATAAGAATCAACTCAAAAAAAAAAAAAAAACCAACTACACAGCTACACCACACTACTGTGAAAGGCACTTCCAATTAGAAAAAACATAAATTAGACCATTGACCAGAAAAGAAGTTGAAATTTCCAAGTCTTCTCTACTCTCCAAACCCCCCCACCCCCAGGCGAGGAAATGTCCAAAAATCCAGTCAAAATTGTAGTAGTCAAAACAAACTTCCCATCTCTGTACCCAATACAAGTTGATTCAAATCATAAGAAAGGCTCATCAAAAGCACAAGCGGAAGCAGAAATTGAAAGTTTGCAACCATACCACGAAAAATATGCCGAAACCTCCACTCATTTCCGTGCAAGTCTTTGGCTACTAGTTCCTGAGTTGGAGGTTGAAGTGACATGTCCTGTCAAAGAAATGGGGTTCATCATTAAGACCCTAAATCCCAGCAAAATGACACAATAGACTTCAAGTAAACAGTCCTAACCAGTGGGGGTAGACATTCATCTGCATGCCGTCTCAGAACCGAGAATCCACCATGAGTGCTTGTATCAGAGGCAGTTAGAGTCTTGCAGAAAGAATGGACATGAAAACATGGAGGTGTGGGCGGCAGAGGCTCCTTCTTCACAGCATTCTCATCTTGCTGCAACACAAATATCATCAAGTAAGAAAAAAAAAATTCCCTTTGCAATTACGAAAATTACTAGATAAAGCATATCCACCATGATTGCACTTACATAAGGTTCTGGCATCAAAATCACATGCGCAAATACCTCATCTGTGTCTGGTTCAGCCTTTTAGACAACAATACAAACAAAAAAACCAAATCAAAACATATAGCAGACTACAACTTGAAAAAGGAAAATGATTATATAAATTATAGTTCGGTAAAGGATCTATAAACAATCCCCAAAAACTTATAGATGGTATTAAAAATTAAAAGCTTGAATCTCCAACAGTGAAATTACCTTCAGTAAAACATTAACCACACGGCAAAGGATCTTCGGAGGAAGATTATACACAGGCATCTGCTGGTCTGCACTTTGATTAGTTGATGCCTCCACCTATTTGGCAAAATCCACAAATTTTATGCATGAAATTATATTGAAAATTATCATAAATACAAAAACTAATTAAAAATAATAATAATAAATGTAAAACCCAGAAATTAACTACCCAGAAATATCTTCAGTGCTTCCCGCGTAATTAATACATGAATAAATCGTATTCTTTGAAATACTTGAAAACGAAATTAAGTTTCAACATTAAATGATCGTGTTTATGTACAAAAACCAAACTCGAAATAAAATTGAGAATTGTGATCTAACTTTGATGAATCTGAGCTTAGGGGATAAAAAATAGCTCATCATAGATATGCAAAAAATACGACTAAAAATCACAACAATTCGAGAAAAAGAAAAACCTGTTCTATGTGACCCTGAGGGAAATAGAAAACGAGCTCATTTTCCCGAGGCACAGTGACTAAAGGACCAGCACAAGCTTTCCATAGCTCCGTGTATAACGCTGTCTCAGCATCCACTGACCAAAAAACCCAAAAACAAATTAGAACCCAGAAAAGAAAATCAAAATATTCGAAATGATCACCGGAATTACCTTTTCCGATGCCTGAAATTCCCATTTCTGCTATCACGGGCTCCGTGTAACCCATATTCGAGACCTCAGCCATTTCTTTACGTACTTTTTTCAGCACAGATCTCACATCTCCAAACCCACACAAGCAATCAACAGTAGACACAACACCATAAAAGCAACCTCAAAAACCAGAAAAATCAAGACATCAGCCTCTTAAACTATATATGGGTCAAAAGAAAATCTTGTATGAATCGGCACAAAATTTTGCAAGACTTTTTATGGGTTTATTCTACAATATTGCGAGGATATCTTGAAGCATTGGGTTAGTATTGTAGCCTAATAGCTTTAGCTGATGAGAGAGAAAAGGAGTGGGGTTGGCGGGGGACATAGAGACAGATTGTGGGGTCGTCGACCAGCGGAGGGACCAGAATAGGGTGCAAATTAGTATTAAAAAAAAAAAAAAAGAGGCTGAACCTCAAGCTTGAGGGCCCCATTGTCCCGCTTCTAGAGTTTTGTGAGGAAGGTAAATAGCGAGATGTGCCCCAATAGGTCAGGGAATAAGAGCTGTCTGCATACTGCGCTTATAAGGAGTCCAATTTCATATTTCAGGAATCGAACCCCCACACTGCGACTGTCAGCAAGGTGTGAGATAATCTCACTCCTATCCTTTACACCACTGGACTATGCTCCGAGGAGCCAAATTAGTAATTATCATTTCAACAGCGGTCAATTTTGTAGCCGAGCCAAGAAACCGGCTATACCCGGTCCAATTCCAAAGCATGTTTTGGAGGTTGATAAATCAACAGTGAAGTGGGGTCATATCTGATTCTAACTTGCCTGACGTACCAAACATACGATATGATTACATATTTATATAAGGAAATTACTAAAAATATCCATTTTGATATAATTATTTGTAAAAATGTCTAAAATTTTTCAATGTCCATTTTTACAATTATTTGGACAAGAGTACCCCTAAATAACTTCTGAGAAGCTATATTAAAATGATATTATCAACATTTCAATTGTTGTTCTTGATATTTGAATCCGTTTATATTTCAAAAGTACACATGTCAAATCACAATATTAAATGTTCTTAACATATTAAATATCTAGAATGACATTTCATTCCAAACATGACATTTTTCTACACTTTAAATGTTGTTCTCGATATTTCTGTGTCTAACATTAATTGTGATTTGATATGTGCAATATGAAATTATTTATTCTTTCATTAAGGTAAAATAGAGAATTTGGTATCAAATTTGGCCATTTTGCAAAGATTATCAAAAGTTGACATTTTTTAATTAACATATATAAAATTGTACATTTTTGCACATGCCCCTATTTATATTTATATTATGACCCCCATTGATATAAATTCAAATTCAAATTCAAATTCAAATTTCAATGCAAATCAATGTCAACAATTAACTATATATTTTTAGGGAAAATTGCACAATGTCCCTAATCTTTCCATTTTTCCTAGTCTTTACCTTAACCATCATTTTGTATCAGTGGAGGTTCTTAACTTTTCATATTTATGCAGATGGAGTCCATCTGGACGGAAACTTTCAAAACACCGTCAGTTGACCTCGAAAATTAAATAAAAAAAGAGATATATTGACAATTTTAAGTAGGGGGCAATTTTATCCATACATTATTTTTCCTTTCATACAGTTCAAATAACTGTACATTTTCCTTCCATTTCATTGGATATTTATTCTCTCCTTTCTCTCTTCCAATAATTGTCAAAAGCTTTTCGAAATGGAGATTGAGATGAATGTTTGAAAAATGTGGGTTCCCTTTGGAGATGAAGACTTCATGGACGAATTTGAACCCAAGAAGAAAGTTTATCAATTGCCCACGATGTCAGGATGCTGGTAGTGGTAGATGTAATTTCTTCGACTAGTATGACCTAAAAATGTGTGAGAGATCAAATGAGCTGATCTGTCATTTTTATAGTGGAGTGCCCTGGCGGTTATAATTAGAATCTAATCTCTCTAGTACGACTTCCTGTAAGCCAGTGCTTTGATCTCTGGACTTCTACGGGTTAGGAGAGAGATAAAAACTGAAATAAACACCCTTCATTCAAAAAGTCGTAGTGCATGGAAGACTTAGCTAATTGGATTTGTATGTGAAGTTTTTGTGAAATGGGTAAATTTGGGTTTGGTTTGAGCTAAAATATTAATTTTTGTGTTATGATTAGGGTTCTCTGAGAAACAACAATCATGTGATATCTGCTTTTGTAACTTATTTTCGAGTATTTTCTACTTATAAAATATGCTATTATTTAGCAGTGCTTTGACGTTTTCTTTCTCTAATTTTCCTCTTCTTTGTTGAAAATAAATGATTCGGAAATAAAAAGGGAAAATCATGTTTGGAAAACGTTTTGGAGATGGTAGCAAAGTCCCAAACCTTTTAATGAGTTGTATATCGGGTCCTTACCCTTATATTAAATTTTTAGACAATGTTCAAACTAATTATGACCATTTTCAAGCCAGATTCATTTCCAAAATGTACAACACAAAGTCAAAAGTATTACAGTGAATTATAGTATTAGAATGCTGAATATCCTTTTCATTCTCAATTGGAATATACATCATCAAAATTGCATTTCAAGACTATACAAAAAATCGTTATTAAGTTGCCCTTACAAAAGATCATGGACATTGCAAAAATAGTCTAACATTTCAATAGATTTTGATTAAAAGCTAACTTCTTTTTTCCTCGCCATTTTTCTTCTTTGCCTGTGCCTGAGCCTCATTGGATGTAGATACTTCTCTCTTGCCTTGTGATGTTGTTGGCGGTGATTGTTGAGATGTATCTACTTTCGAACCTAGCTAGGAACTTGCACCTGTATGCAAGGAGGTTGTGCATATTCTCTTGTTATGGCATGTTCCTCCACATCTTCTACACATTATTTTTATACCCGTTGTTGCAATTTTTGTACCCGCAGGTGACCCAATTTGGGACTTCTTCTCATCTTCTTCGGTTGCCTACCTGTTTCTTTTTCATGGGTAGATCAAGATGATGTCTACCAAGTATTAGCCATAACTTAGGACTTGACGATAATTAGGTGATAAGCCTATATATCCTTAGATAAGCTTCTTTGGTGTAGCATGTATCAATGCATTCATTTATGCCAATGTTCCTAGAAATCATACCAGAGATTGCATAAACACATGGAATGCTAGTAAGTTGCCCCTTTCTATATGCACATTTCCTTCGTGCCAATAGGGATGCCACAAAAACTCATTCAACCCAATACTCGCAGAGCTCGCCCCAAATGGACAGGAATTACCCTCCTAACTGGATAAATGGATGCGTGTACAAGGTAAGGGTCATTGCATCGAAGTGGGTATGGGAATCATAATCCTCGCCCAGCTACCCATCCCATTTAAAATTAATTACAAATTTAATTTTTTTATCAAACAAAAATAAAATATTTATCATCATTTTTAAAGAGAATATGAGTTGTTTTAATAAATTGAATAAAAAGAAAGTAATAATTTTACAAACTAAAGACATAAAAAATAAAAGTAAAAAAATAAAATGGGGAGATAAACATGGCAGGAGACTAGTCCCACCCCATCTCAATCCCGCCTCAACCCGTCCCATCCAGCTTTAACTGGGTATGGAGGTGGGGATAGATGACAAAAATACTCGACAGCACAAGGTGGAAAAAGCCGACCCATTCCATACCCGCCCCATCGTTATCCCTAATTGTCAAGTCTACACTTTATCTCATTCCATCTCTATTACTTGCCTCAAACTTCTTACTACTAGCATAATCTACCTTCATGTTTATTGCAACTGTCTCTAATTTTTCAATTATAGTCATAATTCTAGGACAAAAGGCATGATCCCCTTTTTGTGCTCCTTTTCTTTTTGTATTCATGCTCATTATGGCATTTCTCTTGCAACGAGAATGGAAGAATTGAATGCCTCATATAAGTTATTAAGTAGAATGTCATACCTACTATGCTCCTAAAAATGTGATCTGGTCCACTGTGATGTTGGTTTCTCATTGAACCACTTGAAGGCTTTTCATTCACTTCTTTCATTTTATTCATTACACTCTTCTAATCTGGCACAGTTGCTATACTAGCTGCATACCGAAGCAAACTTTTCAAAGTGAAGCATTTACATGTCAAAGTGAAGTTATTGTACAAATATCTTGCACAACACCTATGCTCAGTGCCTTTGTAGAAGAGATTAATAGAGTTTACCAAATTCTTTATTTGTAAAAATGAAAGTCCAAGCCTTGCTATTATACATCCAAACGTTAGCTATTAGAATTTTTATAAATCATTCCCAATTTCTTTTGCTCTCAACATCTATTATAGCCCATGCAATAGGGATCATGAAATTATCTCCATCAATACCAACTGCATTTGTACACCTTGTCATTTTTTAGGAAGCATCCATCCAAATCAATCTAGGCATACACCACCCAGACGTAAAACCTTCTTTGCTAGCCCTCGAGTATATGTAACATATTTTAAATGTAGGTCCTAAACCTTCAATTTGAATTGTGCTACTAGGATTTGTTTGTTTGAGCTCTTCACCATAGCCTACAGTATCTTGTACTACTCAGCTACAAAACCATTGATAACTTCTAAACATTTTGCTCTTATATTATAAAATTGATGCTTTGATATCTCATACATTCAATCTTTCTTCGCTGTCTCAATGAAACTGCTTATGGACAGTTTTGGATCTAATTTGAAGTTATGTATGTATTTCTTTGCCAAGTACCCAACATTCACTCATTTGTTCTACCACACCATTGTGCATGTATGTTCATCGCTGAAGGTGTTAATCCTGAAACTTTTGTTTTGCCACGCCTCATCCTTAGTCTGGTTCCTTCTTTTTTCACATATCAATCTCCTTGCATTTTTCTTTGAATATTGTGCCATTGCATCCTTCAGCATCTTTAAGTTGTCAATTTTCATGCCTGTATGGAATAGAACATGTCAAATGTCGATGTCATACCATTAATACATAATAAGATATGAAAGAAGTGGAAAAGATCGATATTTATCTGGAATTTTAGATCTTGCATATCAGTTGCAAGAACCCTCTTCTTCACGGTCACTTGGAAAGCAAATTAGATCATTTGAGTCGTCATAGTCTGATCCATCACCATCTTCAACACTTGCATTGCCTTGATTTTCATCACCAATATTAATAAGTTCGGTCAACCTGAAGAACGCATATTCTTCACTGTCATTTGTATCTACATTTTGTTCCTGCTCGTATTCTGGATCACCAAGGTCCTCCAAGTGTCCTTCTTCAAAGTCATAGTCCCCATCATGTTTAGCGGGAAAAATAACAGGTTCTTGAACATATGATACATTTTCAGCAA